GGATTTGGGATTTGAGGCCGTACATCAATGGACGTGAAGGACAAACTTTTTCAATGGAATAGAACTTAAGCGAGAAATGCTAGCCATAAACTACCCATGTGAGGCTGCTCTATCGTTAAAGATGGCCGAAGGAAAAGGAGGTTGCTGTAAATTTGACACGAGGATCTGATCTGATTGGTAGATATTAATGGTCCCGCCTCGTAAAGCATAGTCTCCTTCAAGGCAATGATATTTGGAGAGGATTACCAGGAGGTGATTGCTATAGTGATGTTCACGACTGATAGATTGGAAGAGAATTGCATTATGTAAAAAGTCCATTGGGTGGGTGGATGCTTTTGGGTAGTACTGGGGTCTTCGCTCTCTGGAGCGGCTCGTTGGTTGGTGGTGATGGGTGTGGAGATAGCTTGCGGGACTACTGTGAGTCGATTGTTGACGATATGGGTCACTGGGGAAAGACATTCATGTTGCCAGCGGTAGGGAGTATTGTTCGCCAGAAAAGGCTCTTAAGAAGTGGCTGTGGGCATAGCAGAGTGGCGTCATTTTCTTGGGCTTTTCAAAGTCTTTTTTGACTAAAGATATATCTGTGGGCGACGGCAGACGGATTATAAACATTCCTGGAGGTTCATAAGATCAACAGAGGTTTCCATCAAAAAGTTATTGAGTTATTTCAAGTAAACTTATATAAAGAAAAGATTGGAGGCGTTTTACGTGTCGGCATGAATAATCTGCATCATCCATGGATTACTTCCTATAACGCGGAGAGGTGAAACTTGCGTAAAGCCTTGAATGTGTCCCAAGACTGAAAATGAAATGGAAGACATGGTCATGTCGAGTTCCCATAAGTTCAAGTGGCTGTTCGTGGAGGTACGGGGCGGTTGTTGTGGAGTATGTGATTATAATGTGAGCGTGCAGTGCATTCAGATGTACGCTAGTTGGTGAATCGTGTACTTCGCACAGACATTTGTTATTGGTCTTGGCTGTAGGTGCTGGTTAGGCAGGTAATCAATCCAATCCTGAGAGATCATTTGGAAGCTACCTGAAGAGAATTTTCGATATCTGTAAGGAACTGCAGATTATTCACTATGTATTAAGAGTAGTGAGGCATGGTGTTATGACTGTGAGAGAAGAGAGATGATATAAGTCCAGCAAGATGCTACAAGGGACCTCAAAAGAAAAAAGGGAGGAGG